GGGGCGGGGGGGGGGGGGGGGTCACACTTCAAACCCCAAAGGGCTACAGGTTGGGTACCGGTGCTTTAAATAGGAATTGTGTGTTAAAATGTCCGGGGATATGACTTAAGTCTGTTTCCTCCATCACTTGACCAGGGGTCCCGAGACTTGCTTAGGATTATTGATTATGATGATTGATTATTGGCAGTGGGGTGCAGCCGATACTTCTAACGCAGCGATGGCAGATACGCTGATGACGAAGTCGGTTCAGTTCTATAGAAGGCTTTCCCGTCCTCCTGTATTGTACGAAGGCGTTTTCTTATGTCACTGGAACAGAAGGAGTTAAAGGGAACCTGTCATGGAAGACACCCGGCGGCCGCCATTGCTGCCCGTTTCAGGCCGACTTTGATATATCCGAATGGAGATCCACCAATGGCGGCTCTCGGTTTCTCTTATGACAAGTTTACTTTACGGGATGCAGCCGCGTTACATCTCATTTGTCTTATGTTTTGTTTTGTTTTTTTATCCTTTTTTTGAGAAAACCCAAAGATTTTGTTTTGTGCCGCCATTCTTGTACTATGCAGGGTCCATTGTCGCCAGACACCACATGTACAGATGTATCACCACTGTTTTTACAGTCCTGCAATACATTTCTCCAATAAAGACAGAGCCTTGGTTAAGGCTTGTGTACGTGTCACTTCATTTCTAAGTATGGGAACCCCCCCCCCCCCTTCCAATGAATGGGGTTCAGATGTCTCTGCAGATGTTGTAGACAATTGTGCTCTTCCAGCCTTGTGGTCACAGTTTGGTGAAGACCCTTTTCTGTTCCACCATGACTGTCCCCGGTGTACAAAGCCAGCTCCATACAGACATGGTGTGACCAGCTTGGTGAAGAGTCTAGACCCCTTTCTCTTCCACTATGACTGTCCCCTTTGTACAAAGCCCGCTCCATGGAGACATGGTGTGACCAGTTGGGTGGAGGTCCTTTTCTGTTCCACCATGACTGTCCCCTGTGTACAAAGCCCGCTCCATATGATATGGAGCTGACCAGTAGGGTGTGGAAGAACCAGTAGGGTGTGGAGGAACTTGAGAGGCCTACGCCAAGCCCTGACCTCAACCCTATTAAGATGGTGAAGGCCATTTTCTGTTCCACCATGCCGGTCCCCTGTGTACAAAGTCAGCTCCATAAAGACATGTGACCAGTGTGGTAGAGGAACGTGAGTGTCCTGCACAGAGCCCTGACCTCAACCCTACTGAACACTTTGGGGATGAACTGGAACACCAAATGGGAGCCAGGTCTTCTCATCCAACATCACTACCTGACCTCATCCCTACTGAACACCTGTGGAATAAAAGACAATGGAGCTCTTCCAGCCTTGTGGTAAGTTTGGTGAAGACCCTTTTCTGTTCCACCCATGACTGTCCCCTGTCTTGAAGACGTTTCACTGTTCATCCGACCAACTTGTGTCCAGTGAAACGTCTTCAAGA